TTTTACTGATTTTAATATATTGAACTCATTTAAAGGTCTATCTTTAACACCGATGTATGATGTCTATCACCACCCTTTAGAGTTTATAAACTCACTGAATATATCTTTTATTACTCCTAGTGATGCATCAATCCTATTTTTTACAATTTTAACATATGTAAACTAAGTGATATAGGTGCACACCTCTCAAAAATAGATATTATACAAAATTTCAACAACTTAAATTTAAACTCGTCAATCGATAAGTTATATGAAATTATTTTGTATACTTTTGATATTTATGCCCCTAAATTTAAATTCAATCCTAACATAAATTGTAACATCACATGGTCAAATCCAACCCTCAGAAAATTAAAAAAAGAAGCTCACAAAAAATTTAATATAACAAATTCTCAACAGGATTATTCAACTTTTTCCGAACTACGGAAAAAATGCAAATCATTATATAGTCAAGTTCATGCAAATTACATAAAAAAAATTGAAAATGGTGTAAATGTAAATCCTAAATCATTTTGGCATTATGTCCAGTCCTTCAGAACTAATATATCAAATAGACCTAATACACTTTATCTTGATACAGTTGTATCTAAAAATATCAATGAAACAACTGAATTATTTGCAAAATATTTCTTTTCTGTTTATACAGATTTTTCTAATAAAATTGATTTATATGATAGTTCATTAATTGAGAGCAATTTCAATTTAAATTCTTTGCATATTTCAGAATATGAAATTTATGATATGTTAGATTCATTAAGTGTTTATGCAGGTACTGGCCTTTTGTCATTTTTAAAGGCTTGTAAGTCAGTTTTAGTCAAACCACTACATTATTTATTTAATTTATCGCTTTCTAGTAGATTTTTCCCAAATATTTGGAAAATATCTTATATTACTCCAATTTATAAATCTGGTGATAAAAGTAATATTCAAAACTACCACCCAATATCAAAATTATCACTCATTCATAAATTATTTGATGCCATTATTACTAAAAAGTTGACAAACATTTTAATTAATCATATAAATCCACACCAGCATGGTTTTTTGCCTAAGCATTCTGTTTTAACAAATCTATTTACCTATCAAACGTATTTATTGAATTCAAACGATAAAAATTATCAGGTTGACACAATATATATGGATTTTCAAAAAGCTTTTGACAAGGTTAATCATGATATTTTGCTAGTTATATTAAGAGCTCTTGTGGTACATTTCTTTCGTGGATTGCGTCATACTTAACAAATCGTTCTCAGGCAGTAAAACTATCTTTTCATATTTCTGCTGATTCTCACGTATATCAAGCGTCTCACAAGGAATGCATTTAGGACCACTACTTTTCTTAGTTTTTATTAATGATTTTTCGCAGTTAATAGGTAGCGATGTTAATATATTACTTTTTGCAGATGATGCTAAATTATTTTATTCAGTAAAATCTTTTTCAGATGTCGAAGTATTACAAAAACAATTGTACAAATTTTTTTGGTGGAGTATTAAAAATTGCTTTCCTCTAAACATTTATAAGTGCAAAGTAGTTTCATTTAATCGTACAAAAAATCTAATACTATTTAATTACAAATTAAATAATATTGAGTTAAGTAGAGAAATTGTTAATAAAGATTTAGGTGTACATTTTGAATCGGATTTATCTTACATATTTCATCACTACTCACAATTAAATAAATGCTATAAAATGTTAGGCTTTATTAACAGAAATACTCAAGACTTTAAAAAAATATCCAGTTTAAAAACATTTTACTGTTCCCTAGTTCAACTAACTCTGGATTTTGGCTCTATAATATGGTCTCAAAATCTTTCTACATATTCAAAAGACCTTGGTAGGGTACAATATAAATTTCTTAAAAGAATAGCTTACTTATCAAATTCAAATATATCTAGTGATTCATATAGTACTATTCAGGATTCTATTGATTTAGATTCACTAGATCTAAGAAGAAAACTCTTTGATGTTCTATTTATTTATGATCTACTTAATGGTCATATTAATTATTCACATCTTCTGGCTTTAATTGGAATACGGTTGCCTTTTTTAACTCTAGATCATTTGATCTATTTTTTATTCCTCACTATCGTAAGAGTTTGGGTGCAGTTAATTCAATTAACTCAATATTGAATAATGTGTGTGTTTTTTAATATTCTGGCTCTTTTTAACATTTTTTACATTGAAATAGCCATAAAAGTAGAAGGACATAAAAAAAATTGTTTTAACCTAATTATAGAATAAATTTAAGAAAATTTAAGAAAAAATGAGGTGGTCGTGCAACCACTTCTGGATGATTTAGTATGGATTGACCCCACTGGAAATGTTGGCGTTACTCTGAGGTAAGTAATTTTAATAAAACTCTATTTCGACTTTTTATACTTAAGTAAGGTATATTATGCTATATAAATAAAAAAATTATATTTAAATACAATTTAAATTCCATTACTAAAAACATCCATACTATATTCTTCGGCATACGACGAATTATCTGTAGTCGTGGAAGATGACGATGATGATGATGTTGGATTTAAATTCATCATCGGAATTTATTGCTGAGCTAATAGAGTAGAAGACATGGGATTCAAGATTTGTTGTGAAGTTATTGGAGTGGATGCTGAATAAGTGAGCTTAAAATTAATATTTGGATTTAGTGATTGAGGTATTGTAGTAAATAGAGTAGATATGTGGCTAAAATTCATATTCGGGTTTTGTTGATGAGGTATTAGAATAGATAATGGACGTATTAGGAAATATGTGGCAGATTGGTGATATGGAGATTGATTTGGAAAACTGGATTTCTAAGATATAGGATAAAAGGGATAATTTTGTGGAGATGATGATGCTTTTCTTATTCTTTTAATAATGTTCAAAATTTCACAACGAAACTCTAATTTTTAGTCTTCTGTAAAATTACTGATAGACTGTAGTACACTTTCAAAAAATGACCTGTTCGGATTATTTTCTTGAACGGCTGGTATAAGAGCAGGTATAGGAGCATTTATAAAATCCAATAACGACGCCGCTACGTTTACGCTTTCTCGTAGAGCATTGGGTATAAGGAGTAGGGGTTTCAGTTCCCTCTAGTTCTGATGGCTTTAGTTCATAAGAATCTTCCTATTCATCGTGTAAATTTGTCTGAGTCTTTATTGTAGCACCAGCAGTTCGTAAAAATGACTGCTGTCGAGCATAAATGTATCATCTACCCAAGTCAGCAGCCTGTCCTGATATCGATGTCATCGAGAGACGGTTGTTTTACCAAATATGTATTAGATACGTTAATGTATCAGGTAAATGAAAAATGAATAATAAGTTTTATTTATAATTAATTACCAACAACATTTTTTGTATAACTAGAAACAAACGTGTCTAAACCACTAGAAGCAAATAAATGGACTTGTGATCATTTAGTTCATGTTACCATCTTAGCCACTATTTGGATTATTGGACTGAGAAGGTATTTAATTATTTCATCGATAAACCTTTTGTATGGTTTATTGATGATATAGCTAAAGCCTCCTCAGTTGATGCAGAAATATATCTGAGGTCGTTGTATCAAATGTTATACATCATAATATCTGAATACGGTCACATACATAGAATCATTAATTTACGATATTGTGATAGTAAAACATATGAAAAGCGTTTGGTAACTACAAATTATTGGTTAAACCTAATGTATCATTTATTGCTAGAAACCACTAATAAATTGGATAAACGCGTGGTATTGAAAAAACTATATTTGTTAGAATCTAAGAGTCCTGCGGGTAAAGGGAAATAATTTAAATCTGTCCACTAGATGGTTCAAAATAGCAAATTCACATGAATATTTAAAATTTTTCACTTAATTTTTTTAAATGTTCCGGAAATACTGCATACTTTAAATATATGTTAAATTAAAGCTTACGTTACATACGATAAGTTAAAAAACATGCTATTTTTGCGATTAAATGTTATGAATTTATAATGTTATATTTTCGATTTTAAATTCCTATAACTTTTCAAAAAATGTATGGATTAATACAATTATTTTGTAAGTACTTCATACATATTCTTTTTATCAGATTTAGATTTTTTTTTTAATCAGACCATTACCCCTTGTACAGATAAGGTTCAAAACTTGAAATATATGTATAAAAAGTAAAACTTTTTCTATTACAAACACAATTTTGCGCACAGATCCATTTAAATAATTGATCATCACAATAATGACATTTTATCTGTGGTGGTAAATTAAATAAAACATACTATTTTGATTAATAGATATTTTATCTATGACATATTTGTGATTGTAAAACTATCTTCGTCATATACGAAATCATGTATATCATCATCAGTTGTGCATACAAAATAAATAAAATCATTATTTACATTATGAGATAATACAGAATAAAAATTGAACTTTAAGTAATTTTTTTGCCCAAACAATAAATTATGTGTGCTTGATCGTATTTTAGATATATACATTTCGTAATTGTTTCTAATAATATCTAGCATTACAAGGCCTTCTTTTATTGCATCTACATATTTAATACCTTGTTCAGACGCCATAAAATTTCTTGATTCGTACAAAATGTCTGCCAATATATTAAATTGAGAAACATTTTGTGTTTTCAAATATTTTACGGTGTCTTCAACGTCATTGATGCTCAATGGAAGATGCATTATGTTGTGTTGTTTATATAAAAGACAACATCAAATAGTTAAACAGAAAATAAGTCTTTATTGAGAAACAATATAATTGTTAATGGTTGTGTGTCATTGATCGCACTCGCGAGTAGTGGACAATCCCCACTACTAATTTATATAATATTTATCAATACGTAACACCTCTTTCCTTATAAAATTATAATACACTTATATTTTAAATATTTATTAACATATAAATAAATGGTGAAATTTGATGAGAGAGTAAGATTTAGTTTTTAGTTTACTGTTTATAACCAGATAGATATTCATTCATATAGACAGAGATGTTTACATAATGTAAAATTATTTGTTGTCATTTGTAGTCGGATGGAGAGAAACGCTGAATAGGTTTTTTAATTCTAACAGGTCGGGGAGATTTATTGCAGAGCGGTACGGTTGATTCTGTGTGGTCATTGTTATCTATGTCAGTATTTTCACCTACGGAGGATAACGAACCGCTTGTTTTGTTTAATGGCCAAATTTGGTCGTCGTGGCTTGTCCACGTGGGACCTTGATCTAATGTAACTTTGTGTGTTTTGTCACTTATGTTTTCAGTGACAGTAGCTTTTTGCCAGTTTTCTCCTGTGTTTCTATAATCTTTTACTAGTACACAATCACCCTCTTTTACGTTTATGTTTCTATTCTCCCCATATTTTATTTGAGAAATTTGACTGTCTACTACTACTTCATTAGTGCCGGGTATTAGCAAATCAAATATTGTTCTAGTAGAATGCCCTAACATTAACTTAGCTGGCGTCTCGTGTGTTGTTGTTTGCGGTGTGTTTCTATGCATCAGCAAAAATTTGTTTAACTGGTTTAAAGAGAACGAGCATTTTTTTAAGAATTGTTTAACGATTTTGACACCTGATTCAGCGCAACCATTTGACGCAGGATGAAATGGTGCTCCCATTAAATGTCTAATACCTAATTTTTTACAGTAGTTTTCGAATTCAATGCCACTGAAACATTTTGCACCGTCAGTTGTTATTGTACGCAGAATTCCAAAACGAGCGAACAGCTCTGAAAATTTCGTAATAACAGTTTGCGCAGTCATGGAGTTAACCGAAAATGCCTCTAACCATTTTGAAGTTGCGTCTACGAATATCAAAATAAATTTATTTCTGTGCGGCCCTAAATAATCACAATGCACCCTAGTCCTTGGCCTTTGTGGCCATCTCCACTGAGTAATTGTTGATTTCGGTGGATTTGGCCTAACGTTTGTACATTCATAACAATCACGAACCATATTTTCAATGTCCTTGTCAATTGTTGGCCACCAAAAATATGATCGTGCTAAGCCTTTCATACTGGTCATACCTATGTGACACGAGTGTAATTCCGCTAGGATATTTTTATGAAATTTTTGCGGAATTATAACACGATAACCCCACAATAAACACCCTTGTTCCAAAGTTATTTCATTTTTGGGTGTGACATACGGTTTTAAATCGTTGTTAAGTGTAAAATCGTCACTCCATTCACCTGTTTTTGTCGCATGTAGGACTCTAGACGTAATTTGATCTCTATTTATTTCAATTTTAATTTTGGACCAGTCTAATGGGAACGGTGAATTTTCATGAATAAAATTTAAATGAACGCTGTCTTCATCGTCCACGTTTTGTTATTAGAATAGTCGATTTTAATTCTCGAAAGAAAATCGGCTATATTTTTTTCCGAATTAATATACTTAATGTCAAAGTCGAACGATGATAAAACATATGCCCATCGTTGTAAACGATTTGCTGCGTAAATTGGAATACCCTTTTTATCTCCGAATATGTGTATCAATGATTTATGATCACTAATTAAAGTAAATTTTTTTGCATAGAGAAAATCATAGAATTTTTGAATACCAAATATTATAGCTAGTCCTTCTTTTTCTATTTGTGGAAACTTACACTCGGCATCAGATAGTATTCGTGAAGCAAAAGCTACTGGTTTTTCAGAATTATCAGGGTACACATGTGATAAAACTGCACCTAGTGCATACGAAGAAGAGTCAACTATTAGTTTAAGTGGTAATTTTTGATCAAAATGTGCTAATGTGGGCCTTGAGATAAGGATTTGTTTAATTATTTTATATGCATCGTCACAATTTGATGACCAGTGCCATTTTATGTCATTTCGTAGGAGGGTGTATAACGGTTTTAATATTTCAGCTGCGTTTGGAATAATTTTCATGTAATACGTAATTAAGCCTAAAAACGATTTTAATGTCGATTTGTTTTCCGAAACAGCCGCGTTTCGGATTGCATCGATGTGTTTTGTTAAAGTGTGTAAACCTTTTTCATCTATTCTATGACCCAGATATTCAATTGATTTTTAGAAAAACTTACATTTCTTTAACTTTACCCTCAAACCACAATTATGCAAAACATTCAATAATTTACCTAATCTTATGTTGTGTTCCTGAATTGTACTACCCGCTATTATTATGTCATCTTGGAATACCCCAATACCATTAATTCCTGCTGTGGAAATTTCCGTAGCTTTTTAGAATTCGCCCGATGACGATTTTATTCCAAACGGACTTCTAGTATAACAGAAAAGACCTTTGTGTGTATTTATTGTGATGTACTTGCGATCCGATTCTTTGATAACCATTTGTTGGTAACCGTCTTTGAGATCTATTTTCGAAAAATATTTGGAGCCACTTATATTTGCATATAAGTGTTCAATTTTGCGCAGGGGATATTCTGTACCTTTTAACACAGGATTGATCGTAATTTTAAAATCACCACAGATTCTAACTGTACCGTCGAATTTTAGTATTGGAACTATTGGTGTGGCCCATTCACTATAATTAAGCGGAACAAGTATTTTGTTTTTAACTAAACGATCGATTTCCGTTTCTACTTTATTTTTAAGAGCTAGAGGAATTGATCTTGGCTTAAAAAATTTTGGAAACGAATCCTTTTTTATATTGAGTGAAATTTCATATTTGTTAAAAGTTCCTATTTCATCTTTAAATAAATCCTCGTATGAGTTTAATATATTATTCAGATTATTATCTATTTCCACATTATTATAAATGGGTGAATAATACCACCTTTTTCTATCACGTATATGCACATTTTAAATTCTTTTTCTATTATATTTCGCATTTACTTCTATTTTACCTATTGGATTTATGTTGTTTCCAACATAATCAGAGAGGGAAATGTCATTGTTTAACATTGTGATATTACTGAAAAGAGCAGAATACATTTTATTTGAAATTACACTATGTAAAGATCCTGTGTCTATTTCAAACTTAACATCTACATTCTCTATTAATAAATTAGTTGTAAATGGTTTGATTCTATTTTGAGAATTAGTTTCTATCAAATTAAAAAATGTATCAGACAAGTTGTATGCAACTGCCTGATCGTCTACTGTTTCATTAAAATTTTCAGTTAAAAATTTAGTGTATGAACGGTTATCATAGTTTTGCTTAAAACTCTTACCATTTTTGCAAATAGGGGCCAAATGACCTTTTGAATTGCATATTTTGCAGCTGTAATCCTTGTATCGACAGTTTCTTTGTAAATGGTTTGAGCGGCCACATACTCCACACTTTAGTTTATCCGATGGTTGACGATTGACTTGTTTATTTGGGTGAAGTTGCTTTTGATAGTTAAGTTCCGATTCATTTTGTTTCCAAGTATTTTTTTCCCTTATGGTAGCTTCCTTAATAGTCGCAATGTCCATTAGATTCGCATACGTGGATTTTAGATCAGATGCGTCTTCTTCTATTAGTCGGTCTTGTATTTTTCCGGGACTCATTCCTACAACGAATATATTTCGTATAACAGTGGTTAATTCTGACGAGAATTTGCACTTCGATCCAAGATTTTTGACACGAGCGCCCCATTCTGCCACCGTTTCATCAGTACGTTGTTTTGCCAGGTAAAATGTATGTCTAGCTGCGAAGTATGATTTAACCGGCTTGTAATATTGTTTTAGGAGCTTTAACAATGTGCTGTATGTTTGAGTGTCTGGTGTGCTAGGTACACATAAGCTATATAAAATTTTATGAATTTCTTCACTGACAGACGATAGCAATATGGCTTTCTTTTTTACTTCATTTTCGATTCCAATCGCCAAAAAGAAATTTGTCAATTTTGACTCGAAAATGGTAACATCCATTCCCTGTTCAAATATACCCGGAGTACCAATAACTTCATTGAAACTCACTGTTGGTTTCGTATCATTCATTTTTGTTCAATATGACAATTTTCACTGCACTTTTTTTTTTTATATATATAAATTTATGATTTATATTTAATAGTTAATAAAATCACTTCTTTAAATAGTATGATCTAAGAAACGTTTTCCTCGTCGCCAATTTGTTGTGTTGTTTATATGAAAGACAACATCAAATAGTTAAACAGAAAATAAGTCTTTATTGAGAAACAATATAATTGTTAATGGTTGTGTGTCATTGATCGCACTCGCGAGTAGTGGACAATCCCCACTACTAATTTATATAATATTTATCAATACGTAACACATTATATAAAAGTTTTACAACTAAAATTAATAAAAAAAATATGTACATATCGAACTGTAGAGTAAAAGATATTATAATAACTTACTGTGATTTTTATTCTCAAACAAAAAATCCAATTAACTGTCTCTTTTTCTTTTTATGGCTTTTACGGACCATTTAGGTCCATTGCCGTAACAACCACTTGCCTCCATTCATCTTTATATTGAGCTAGTTCTTCTCCGTCGTTTACTCCCAATCTTGATGCATCTTTTGTAATCCTGTATTTCTACCGCTGTTTCGGCCATCTTCTCGACCTTCTTATGTCCGGTTTTCAACTTATGGCCAATCCTATAGGGCCTTTGGACCTCCACACATGTCCAACCCATTCCATTCTACTACTCTTAAGGACTTCAATTATGTTGCTTCTCTATACAGTTCTTCTACTTCTCGGTTTTTCTTAATTCAAAGTCCCCTAAAACATTTTTTTTGGCCTAAATATCCTACGTTTGAAATAATATCCTCTACATTATGTTCCCTGAATTAGAATATACTTTATATAGTAGTACATAGTACATTATACATATATAGTTTATATAGTACATCATAGGTATAGCTTATTAGTACCAGAATAGTAACATGTAAATAATATAATATTAATTTTACTATATACTAGTAACATAATAATTTATTTTCTGGAATCTATAATTTTATTTTATTTTTCCATGCTCCTCATTAACAAATGCTTGTCCTCTTCTTAGCAAAACATGACCTCAACTTGGTGACCACTGTGCATGTTCCGTCTATGGTTGATCATCTTCATCCCAATCCTTAAAACCCTGGCTGCACCAGTAACATAACATTTGTTTATTTTTGCAATTGCCTAAAAAAAAAGAAGACATACGCAATATACCCAAATGATAAATGTAAATTTCATAATACTAAATATAAATTAAAAAAAATTATATCTGTGTCATGAAAAGTTGTAAGCTAAACTCATCTTAACAGCCTAACTTTACAAGAACCCCGAGGAGAGTCCACCATGGACGAGGCAAAGCCAGAGCACCATAGGTTTAAACCTTATCCTAGGGGGAAAGGTTATAGATAATAGTGATACTTTAATACAATTATTTAATATTACAAACAATTTTTATCTTAGCATAACAAAAATATATAAAAAAGAATGGTAAATAAAATCACATATTAAAATGCATTAAATATATGGTTCAAGCATAATAATAAGAAATCATTATCATAAAAAACACTACAATAAAATATTTAAGTTAAGAGAAACGAAAAATAAAAGTAGTGATGAAATTATGGCCAAAGATTCAAGAAGAAAATATATATACAAGATATAAAAGATATAAGGTAACTCCATCAGTCATAAAAATATATAAGTTGAAAGTTGTTTAATTAATATTACTCCAGTCGATAAAATGCTTCTTAATTCTATTAAGCATTATGTCCACAAAAGTGCAAGACAATTAAAAGTGATTTACCACAATCATGTATAGCAAGCTGTATACAAACAGTCATGCATACAACGCCCTAGGTATTCTCTCAAAAGAATAATTTACTTTATTATGATAACTAGTCTATCAATTTTCATAAATATAATATTGAGGAGTCGATTTAATTAATCAACCATATAAAATGGATTTCTGAGAATAAAGGAAAAACGTGAGCATGACAGATGTGCCAACGCATGTGGCAGAGTATAATGGACATATCACCAACGTCAACGGGTAACCTCAACATAAATGTATAGGGCCCAATTAGATGTTCACCATGTCCACCCAGACGACACCCGAGGAACAGCTAATATATGCTATATCGTGTTCCTAAGTTGATGCATCCAACGGATTTTTACCGGAATCATCACGAGCCATTAGCATTTCCAACCGCGTGCCGAGTTCTAGATATTAATACGTTGGACAATGAATTTCGACGGGGAGATTAAGAGAATTAACTAAACCGTTACCACGTTTATTAATGTTTGATCGTCGACGTTGAATCATCGTTTAATTAAAACGGTGAAATTGTTACGTCAATCTTTTATACGTGATGTTTTTTGAAGCGCAAACATCTAAGTTACCGGTTTCTAACGTCTACTTGGATAAATCTGAGTCAAAACGAATGAAACACGGTCCCTTGATACCGATTTTATACGTCATATAGTTTACGGACCGTCTAATTGTGGTAAAACAAACCTAATGTTTAATTTACTGACGATAGAAAACGGTTTAAAATTCGAAAACATATATCTCTTTACAAAGACTCCGGATTAACGCAAGTATAATACAATTTTAGAGAATATTATGAATAACGTAAAAGGGGTTAACATGTACGTTTACACCGATAACGATCAAGTAATATCACCGGAGAAGTCAACTTCTAACTCCATATTTATATTTGACGACGTCGTATGTGAAAAACAAAACAACATATCATCGTATTTTTTAACACGCTTATATTAGTTTCACGTGTATGCTGTTTGTTGTTTGTAACTCACCACGCGCCACGTGTTATTATTCTCGCGTTTCCCGTCGTCTATGGCCTTGAGACTAGACTGTCGTCTCACCCCACCCCGCTCATCAGTCGCCGACAACAATATTTTCCTGTACAATTTAATTTTTGGTTTTCGTACCCGCACATGCGTGCGTCTCATCAATTATATATATAAACAAATTTTTATTGTGACACGGCCCCGTCACTCGTACCACCTTTATCAGCCGTCGCCCTACTATGAGTATTTTTTTTTATTGACCAATACCACCCGCGTGCCATACGCTTCACGTATATATATTTATACATTCCTACCGCCGCTGCCGCCGTTTATGCCACAGGTATAGCGTTCCCACCGCGCACCAACAAAATACGGCTATACCTCGTGTATGATACATTTTCGCACTTAAGTCGCCTTACTATATATATATAAATATATATACATATATTTATCCACTATTTCTATATACATGTATCTATATTAATATTTATATTCATTTATATATTCCTACAGCCGCCGCCGCCGTATATACCTCACGTATAAAGTTCCTCCCGCCACGCCCGCCCACAAATCATGGCTATACCTAGTGCATGATACGTTTACGTACTTAAGTCGCTTTACATTTATATTTATATATTCTAATTACTATTAAAATTTATATATTAACACGATTTATTCTCACTAAGAGATATAAAGTGTATCATTCCGATTACGGGGGTTCAGGGAGTGGGCAATTTGCGCGCCTGATGCTTTCTTTGAATGTGGTAGCCGATTCTCAGACTCCCTCTACGGAATCGAACCCTTAAATCCCGTTACCCGTTACAACCATGATATTGATAGTAACTACTATCATAACATGAAACTAAAAAGTTAAAAATGATTTTTAACTTTTTAATTCGATGTGCTTTAAAAACGTGTTTTTTTAGTTTTTTAAAACTATATTTATTTTGTAGAGGTCGACACAACGGCATCGATACATTTTACTTATCGCAGACGTATTCTCGTATACCAAAACAACTCGTCAGAGACAACACGAATATGGTTATTTTGTACAAACAAGACGAAACTAATTTAAAATACATATACGACGATCATTGTTCGTCAGATGCGAGTTTTATAGAATTTAAAGTAATGTGTGGTAAATGCTGGAACTATGAGAGATTTGAATTTTTATTGATAACGAAAGATTTTCCTTTAAACGAGGGGAGGTATCTCAAAGGCTTCGACATTTATATAAAAAAAACAGATTTTCAAACACTTAGTTAATTATACAAAATTGAGTTGGAGGAGAATATAACGTCAAGTATTATAAAAGCTAACCCAGGGAGATACTTAATTTCGCCAGAAAGACAGGACTCTTTGGTCATCTCTAGAGGTGACTTTATGGTTGGTAATGTATTAACACTTTGGTGATAACACTTAGGTGGGTAAACCGAATCAAGACAATTCGGTATGAGGTGCACACAATGGACCAACAGGTCTGAGTGCATGGGCATTATGTCCACCTCAATAATAACTAAAACTAAAAACTATTATAAAAGCTAAAAAAAGTATTAGGAAAAAATTACTAGTACTCAAACGTGGTTTTGTGGAAACTAGAGAGTTTGTACACAAGTATGCGATACCTATTGTTAAACCTCTGGAAAAAATTACACGACAAACAAAACACTTATTTATAAAACGTAAATCAAACGGTGTTGAGGAATATGCTGACATTGATAAAAATTAAACGGTCGTGTTGTGTAAACCGTTTCAACCACATCAACAACAATCAAACTTTGATGCGGTGTATGGTGTACCGTTAATGACGACGGAGACTTTAAGATGGGTGATGAAATGGTAATTATTGATGAACACATGGATAATATTAAGGTTGGAGGTCTAAAACAAGTATCATTGACGAAAGGATTACACAAATTGTTATTTAAAAAGATACCCAACGTCGATTTAATCATCTCTGAGGACATGTTAACGTATAAAAACTGTATCATACACACTAGAGTACATAGAAATATTAACGGAAAATTGAAAACAAATCAAGGATATAAATATAAAAATATCATAAAACAATTATTTAACGAACGGCAACCAAGCGAAAACGAAAAGTTTGGTGGTGGACTTCCGTATTTATCCGTTACAATTAAACGAAAAGAATACATATATTGAGATGATATAAACGAATTAGTACAGCGACTGGCTAATTTGCACGCGTCTAAGCGTGCAGGTAATACGGGAATGTTATAACGAAATAGTATCCCTGGAAGAAGAACTTAGAGAAAACGGAGTGATAAAATGAAAACTGTTAAAGAACAAATAGCGGAGGAGTTGTATGCACAAGCGCAAGAAAGAAATTTCCGAGACGTAACGCATTACGTTAAAGACAACACGTGGCAAGCGGATCTCGTCGATATGAAAAAGCATTACAACAAGAATCAAAACTTTACTTTTATTCTTACTGTCATATATGTGGATATCACAGTAATGTATATATGTGAAATACGCATGGTATGTGCCTTTAAAATATAAAACCGGTAAGGTGGTGACATCAGCTTTTGGATCGATAATAAACAACTGTAATAGATGTCCATTGTACATAACAACAGACAGGGGATCAGAATTTTTCAACAAAGATCTGATAACTTTTCTAAACCGAGAAGTAATCTTTCTACATATTCGGCGGTGAAGACATGCGTAATCGAGCGTTTTAACCGTATGCTTGAAGAATGCATGTGGAAAAATTTACCGCTTCGATAATGCGTTCGATAATGGTTGTCAATTTTACAAATAATAACAAATGATTATGATAATACTAATCCGAAGATACTAGAACCGATTTCTTTTAATGATACGTCAAAAGATCACAAATCGTATCCAGTCGAAGACATTACCCTCCAAAATTGAAAAAATTTCCCTTGTTCTCCGTAAATGGGGGAAACCTCCAAAAAAATTACTAATTTAAAAATCGCTAAATTTCGAAATTTTTCCAATTTTTTTTACTTAAAATTGACATAACTTTTTTAAAAATGATTGAATCAATATAATTTTTTTTTTTATATAGATACCTTAGATATTTACCTATTATTTTATATATTTTTTTTATAATTCTGACTCTTTACCTGCCTACAGGGGAGGATTCAAAATGACAACTTTTCCACAAAAAATTTAATTTTTCAACTTAAATTTTGAAAGTGTTCCGGAAAGTCTGACACTTTTATATATATCTTAAATTAAAGCTAATGTAATGTACTTTATTATGCAGAAAAAAAATTTGACCTCTGGACTTTCTTCGTGGTGAAAATGGCTACCGAATGCTATTTTTGTGTGAAAATTCTCGATAAAAAATTTATTTTTTACATTTTTAACTTTATAATGCTATAACTTATTGAAAAGTGTATGGATCAACATAATTTTTTTATGAGAAATAATATTTTTTAATAATCCGTTTTTCATTTGACATACTTTATCTTAATCAGGATATTAATATAGAACTAGCAGATCATGTAGCTTTTGGAATAATCCACCAATTTTTTAAAATTAAACACTATCTAAAGATTTGCATCGAAGCGTTTTTTTTTTATAGTGATTTTAATCACTGTCAGATATCATTATACTGAATCCCACTATGCCACGTCATCATTGTGCCCCGACCCCCCTGTGCTGGGTTTTTTTTTAGGTGCCCTTATTTTTTTTATTTAGGTCCCGCAACATGGCAGGCGTGTGACAAGACCCCCTGTCATGCTATATATATTTTTTATATATATAGGTAAATTGGGTGATGCATGTATATATTATTGGCAGAATGTGGTGACGTAGTGCATTTTATTCGAACGTGGGTGTCCCAACGTCTTGCAAGCTAAGTTTAACTGTTTACAACCAGTCGCTTACTTGGGACTTATACCCGCCGTGCTTAGCGGCAATGCCGCGATTAATAGCCGGTGGGTACCCGAAGACGTTCATCGTATTCTCTAATAATAAAAGTGTAGGTGAATTATTTTTTTTATTAATATCTGTTTCTTTTCTTTCTCTCCGTTTCCCTTCAATTTGTAGACGAGGTTTATTGACCGTTCGGTTTTTTACCTCGTATTAACTTAATTTCTATTTTACTTAATAAATTCCCCTTAATTTAACTGAACCATCATATTTTTCTTTTTTTTTTGCGTGTTCCATCTTCAATGGACTCGTGTATTTTTTTTTCCTTTCAAAAATCAACTCCCCTAGTATATAAGGTACGGGCAACGGCCTCGTATAAGGTCATCCCTGATCTATATGGTTATGTGACAACTGTCACGAGGTTTTGGTGTACATCAACTATCAACGACTCAACGGACATCAACTTTAATCTTTATTACTTTTATATTTCTTTTTTTTATCTTAAATTGCTTTTAATTTACTATATTTAATTTTTTTTTAATCCTACTGTGGTCCGACAATATAGTGTCTCGCCCAGTGGGTTGGCGACCCTTTCTTTTCAATGCGCCATGAAAGTTACAAATTTTTCGTTGCGGCCAATTAGTTTGATTTTTTTTTATATTTGTAACCTTTCAATTGAAAACATTTTAAGACGTAAAAATCATCACTATCTGGTTAAATGGTATGGTTTGGAAAAGAGTAGTTGGATACATAAAAACGATTTAGTATGATTTCAAAGCTGGTCCAAGATGGGAAAATCAATAGTTGTCGATTTTCAATGTACCGTGATTATAGATGTCAATTAATTGTAAAAGAATTATCGGTGTATGCGTTTAATATTTTATATCATTGTGTGTTTAAACCACCTGATAATTATTACATGACTGCCAAATACGTAATTACGTAGTTATATCGTAAAAAACATAAATTACATCATATTGACGGCAATGTGGATTATTCAGAACTACAGGTGGTAATGAACGGTTTTGCCAATCGATGTTTACGATTTTATGTTAAAGAATTACAAAAAAAAAAATAGTTTCTCGAAAAATTTACTAGTAAACCAGTAGTAATCAGGTAACCAATAAGTAAATAATATGGAAGATTATGATTGTCCCAGAAGTCATATACTTTTACATGATTATACCGATGTATCAACAATTACATGCTCATTTCATAAACATAATGTTGCACGAATAATCGCATTAAAGTTTTATGCAGGTGGTTAAAAAATAATTGTAAAATGTAAATATACTTTATTGTTTTAACAAGCATGTAAATATAAATTATAGTAAAAATTAATAATTGTATATTTATAAGTTTATTTCAATAAATATATTATTCCGTATTATTTGTCTATAGTTATTCCATAATATACATTTGTTATTTACGATTAAAATATAAAATAATGACGTTTATCCTCTTAATTTATATAGAAGTAAAAACACACTTTTCCATCCGACATAAACCATCTTGTAGAAATGATCGAATTAAATAAACAACATTATTTCACAGTATTTATGATTATAATAACAGTATGTAATCTCCTTGATATAAACGTTTTCTATTGTTTTATCATTGTGTAAATTAAATTTCAATGAAATTTATTGTTTTCAGTCATCAACTGCGGGTATAAATTACACAATATTATATATTTTAGTAGGATTATGTACACAAACAATTGAAACAAGTATTTTATTAAAATTAAAATTTAGTAACATACACAGGAGTAAGTAATATTATTTACACATGTTACAAATGACGGTATTTGATACCTCTTGTCATCTTTGAATTCTAACATTATCTTATTTATTTTTTGTTTATATAGTATGTTTGTATGAACGAAAAGCATACATACTTAATACAATTTTTAGATGATGTTAACTTATACAATTTAAATAATCACTTTCGCTTTTTGTCTCTTTTAGTATTTTTTTTTTCAATCCCTAATTATTTTTTTTTTGTTACATTTTTTCAAAGAAAATTTTTTTTTGGAAAATAACAGTAATTCAGCTTACTTTCTTTTTCCTAATACTTTTTTTCTCGTGAAAATGAAAGTACTGAAATATACTGCCTTTTTCGCTGGAAATTTAATTTTAGATGTCTGTTAATTAGTCGATTTTTAAACTCCACGATGATAGAAATTGAGAATTTATTTTTGAATCACTTGCGCCAAAACATTATATCTTCTTCTTCTTTCTCATCGCCTTGATCTCAACTACTTGTGGTCGGCCACCCTTATTCTAAACTTTTACTTGACACGATCACCCACATCATCTACGTTCACATTAGACGTCCTCATATCTCATTAAATTACATCCATCCATCTCTTTTTTGGTCTTCCTCTACCTCTTGTTCTTTCAACATTCATTTCTATAACTATTCTTACAGTTTCTGATTTTTCTTTCCTTATAACATGACCAAACCATCTAAGTCTATTTTCTCTCATATTATCCAAGATTGGCGCTACACTTATACTGCCTCTTATTTGCTCGTTCCTTATCCTATCTTCTCTAGTCACTCCACTCATCCATCTAAGCATTCTTATCTCTACTGCACTCATTCTCTGCTCTAGTTTCTTATCAACCGCCCAACACTGAACCGTACATCATGGCTGGTCTCACTACAGTCTTGTAGAATTAACCTTTCAGCCTTATTGGAATTCTTTTATTGCATAAGAAACAAGACGCTTCTCTCCACTTCAACCACCCGCACTTAATACTGTGTCTTACATCCTCGTCAATACCACCGCTCTTTTGCACAATTGATCCTAAATACTTAAAACTTTCCATCTCTCCTATCACGTCCTCGCCTAGTGTCACTAAATTCTTCATTTCACCTACCTCATGTTTTTCTTTGTCAAACTGGTACTCTATATACTCTAATGTCTCTTTTGTATAGTCCTCATTTAGTAATTTTTCAAAATACTCTTTTCAACTAATTTCGTTGGAGATGACGGTATAAACATATCAAATTATTTTTGTATATTAGCCATGCCCAGGAAAACCGTATCTCTAAATTAAACTTATGTAATATCATTATCATTATAAAAATATTAAAAGTGTATATTGGAACTTTATTTTTTCGTAATGTAAATTCATTAAATTCTATGTTATTAAAATTTTTATTGCTTTCACGCGCATAATAATTTTATTAAAGATATATAAATATTGTAATTTTTTTTTATTTAATTGTACATATATATATCAACAAAAATATACCAGCAACTCTATTGTGTTGAATAATTTTCATTTAAACAGAAATTTTTAATCTACGAAAATTATTCTAATAACCGTTATCTTTCTTTTATTCTGATGACGATGCTTCTTCAGTTTCTATTGGTGATTTGCTGGATTTGTCAGATTTGTCAGATTTTTTAGATTTTTTTGAACTTTTTGATAGTGGCAAAAATTTTTTGAAACTTGAAAAATTTATCTAAAAATAAAATAAAATTTTATCAAAAACAATTTTTATTTAGAATAATATTTATATCTTGAAAATTAATTGTTATTGCAATAAGTCGTTTCAGTATCGTATTTAAGGAGTTAGGATTAAGACTTAACAACACCTACTTTCAATATGTAATATATATACTTTTTAGACAATTTTTTTTCATTGTTTCAAGTATCTATTCATAAAATGAAACATAATACTAGAAAAGTCTTCAAATTTATAAATTTACTTTAATAAATTAAAAAAATATAAATTTATAGCAAACTAATCATTTCTTTGTATCATTATTATCAAAAAAGTTTGATTGAAAGTATCTACTCATAAAATAAAAGATGTATGTATATGTCATAATATTTTATATTATCATCTCCTTGACCAAATCGCTACTGAATTATTTTTATTGAATGTCTCAAAATAAATAACATTTGTATCATACTACGATATTGAATTTACTAAAAAGTAATAGTTTTAAAATATACATTAATAAAATCTTATCATAATTATACTGGATAATGAATGAAAATATTTTTTACTGACCCCTTTTTTTTTTTTAATTTCTTCAAATAATCCCGTTCGATATAATTCTCCACATGTAGCTACTTTTTCATGACAAAAATCTAACGTCCATCCCCAACCTCTATAAATTTTTTCCGACTTTGAGCAAACAAATTTTGCAATTTTATCATCTATGTCTTTTTCGGTTCTCTTCTTGATAACAAATAAAACTCTCAGCTCGAGAAAATATAAAGCAACACTATTTTTTAATGAACCTAAAATATAACAAATCATATATTATCATTTATTGTTGGCTAAATAGAGACAGCATGAGACACGACTGAGGCATCTGAAAAAGGTCTCGCATAAAAAAATATCATTTGGTTATTTGGTGATTGGGTAATGTGGTTATAATTTGCCCAGAGCCTCGCTAATCATAACGCTAGTTCTATAATAAAGTATCGTTCAAAACAAAATCTAATTAGCGTTGTTTTTGAATGATTAATTATTTAAATGCGTATCCAATGTAAAACTACACTGTGTATGGTACAACTGGATTTATAACAAATGTTAAATAATATTCCCGTAATTATTGATTTATTATTTATTATTTAATTGCAATGTTTTATGTTTTATTGAGAGCGAAAAAAAAATATTAAGAAATTATACAAAAAATACTTAATCAATATTCAATTTCCTAAAATTTTACAACACTAACTTTAAGCTAAAAACCATTTTATGGAAAATTTATTTTGCAAGAATGTAACTTACCAAATCCCTCAGTTAAATTTGCTTTCATACCCCATTGACCTAGACAATCTAATAATTTACTTGTTGCTTTGTAAAAATTAGTTTTCGATTTTACCAATGCTGCATCTTGTTCTTCGTTAGTTTTTGCTAATGCTATCAAACAAACCTAAAATCATTTATATAATAGTATTATGTTAGTACAATTAAAGCAATAATGTTAAATAATGCATTAAATATTAATTTGTAATTATTAAATAATAATAGTTTATAAGAAACATTAATTTATAGCGTATATTTAAAATATAAAGTAAACATTGTTTTAGTGGTTAAACATATATTGAGAATCGCTTTAGAAAAAATAATTACAATCATTAATAATTCATATGTAATATTTATATTACTAATTTTTATCAGAAAGTTTAGAGTTAATTATTCGTTTAAGTTTATATTTCTGGTAAGTTTAAATTTTACAGAGAGAAAATATTTATTAGCTTAATGATCGTAACATTAAATACAACTATAGTACACGATTACCTGTTACTATTTCAGGTAATTAAAACTTAATCAAAGAAATAAGGATAATATTTGGGTACGCTTGTCGTTATCAGTTGCTGTAATTGTATATTGCTATTATTATTATTATTTTCATTTCTATTTTCTATTGCGACCTTTAAAATTATTTATTGTTCAGTAAATAAGGAAACGGGTTTCTATTGTCATCATTTTTTAGAACAATTGACCTGGGGGTCTATTTTTCAATCGTCCGTTCACGAACGTATACGTTCAGATTTTATTTTATATAGGTTTATATGGCGAACGTTGTCCGTGAACACGTTCGGAACGTATGAAACATCGAACGGACGACCGTTCAAAACATTAAAAAACGTTCGTCACAACGGATAATAGAAACCATCCGTTAGCGAACGGT